AATAAATACATACCTTGTAGAGGACACAAAATTGATGGAATGTACATCTCGAGAGATGATGCTCTTCTTCACACAGTTCTTGATATTTTTCAGGGCGTTAAGGAAGAAAATGAATATATAGCCTCTCAAGGTGAATATAGTTTAAATTGTTTTTCTTCAAATGATTATATCGATTATCAATTATTTTTTGAGTTGGAGGGAATACAGTAACGTGCGGATATGTGGATGAGAAAGTGAGTGACTGTGAGTGGGTAACGGAAGCGGGTTAAGTAATAATTCATATGCTCTGTTGAGAGGGGAAGCTTCGTTTTTCGATGCTCTTGTTATTTTTGATGCTTTGAAGGAGGTTGGATCTTGCTTTCAAAATGCTAAAGAATTTTTTGTGAAGTAATTTTTTATTATCTACCGGTACACGCATAATTTATTCAAATTAAAACATAAAATGGGGTCAATGTGCTTGTTTGGGCACTATCGTGCATTGAATATGACCTTTTGCAATTTAATTGCATCTTGCACAAAATCTCTTTATTTTCGAATTTTACCCCAGTACTTTTAAAACCAAATAAATCGTGAGAAAAAATGCATTCTTATAATATTTTGAATAGATATATCAAAAAAGAAAAGGTTTAAAATTATTTCGATTGATCAGTAATTTGACCCCTCTGCAGTCAGAAAATGTCATTATTCTTGCATTAAAAATTTAACAAGCAATAAAATTAGTTTAAAGGCTTAATTTTTAACTGCATTTAAACGAAATGGTCAAAGTTATATATATTCAGAAAGTAAAATTTAAAGGGATGGTCTATAATGTAATTTTTTTAGATAATACTTTAAAAGTGTTACCTTTTAGCTAAAATCGGGGGCTATTTTTTTCCTTGACTACCACAATATATTTGCTATATTTATCACAATATTACGATTAAATTATTAATCTGATATATAATTTGGTACCAGCATAAAACTTTTCAATGAAAAGCATTAACTCCTTAAGAAGCCTGCATCCAAATTATTAAAACATTTTCCGTCATTTTCATCAATCAGCTGGGCTTGTCTATAAAACATGTTATGTATATATCTACATTAGCTTGTTTAAAATAGCCGGTAATTTAGATAACCTTTTACACATTTAAATCAACTGGATTCATAGGGAGCTTCTTAATTTGTCTTAATTTATATTTAATATTTTACATTTATTTTCTACATAAATTGAATTTATGTTTAACACTTGTAATATGTCTTTATCAGTTGGATTAATATCAAACACCTGTTGTACATCTACATGACTTTACCAGTCATTTTCATGCAGTGTCTCGATTAGCCTTTGTTTTTAAGCCTCTCACACTATACCTATATGATAAAACCTAGTCTCAAAAACAGTTATCAGTTGATTAAAGATCCAATAATGCGAGAAAGCCTAGTAAATCGTCACCTGGCCCTTATTTTTTTTTTTAGGGCCAATAGTTCAAAACATAATTTATTGAACAGCCCTAGTATAAAGAAAGTCAAGATAAATTCAGTTGATATAGATACTTATCAGAACATCCCACCCTACTTTATACAGGTCCGAAGCAGAATACACTGGCAGACTTCTGGTCGATGACCTGGCAGGAGCACGTCTCACAAATCGTTATGCTGACCAACCTTAAAGAGGGAAATAAGGTTAGTCCTATAGGTTCTGGGGGGGGGGGGGATTGAAGCCTATGTAACATTGTTCATCATTGCATTTAAGAATTTCAAAATGCATTAATGGTCCCAAAAACGCGTGATTAATAAGTATATTATCTTAGCCTTATTTATGACTCTTATACAATTTTTTTCCTTCGCTGAAAAACATTGCAGTTACACAGGTGTTTTTCGCTTGATTTTCATATTAAGTCGTTTTCCATGTCTTTAGGCAAAGTGTGTGCAATATTGGCCAGAATTAAATAAGGCCATATCCACAGGGTCTTTTACTATCTGTAATATAGAAGAGAAAATCTACGCCTTCTATGTCATCAGGAGATTAAGGCTAACTCATAAAGATGTAAGTCTATTAAAACTATTCCAACAACAGTTTGTGAAGCATATTTTAAAAGTTTGTATATTTAATTATTTATAAGAAAACTTTGATAGTAAACTGTATTTGTAAGCGAAAATATAGATAACCTCATTAACAAGTTATAAACCTCATTAATAAGTTAAGGAAATGTTTAAATATTGCTTTACAAAGTACCACCACTCCTAACCTTCTCTCCTTTTATTGAATGATATAACTTTCCACCAGATAAAAAAGGCAAGTTTGGTAACTCAATATCACTACACTGCATGGCCGGACCACGGCACACCAGAACCGCTCTGTCTAGTAGTATTCCATGATCAAGTGACAAGGAATGAACAAAATCATGATCCCATATTGGTTCACTGCAGGTATGCTAATCAGCATATTAACATAAAGCTGGACAAACGTTTTGATTGTCTAAATATTCATCACGTATTTGATAGTCAACAGTTATCTTATAAGCAAAAAGGAGACTGCATGTTTTAATAAGGAAAAGTGCAGTGGTTACAACACAAGTCTGGTTTCAACTGGAGTCGCAGAGTGAGGATTTGATCCTTACATCACGTGTTCCGATTCCTCTTTTGAATCGTAAAACCGGTCTTTTGGGTGACTGTTCCTGGTACAAAAAAAATCACTCAATACTCAAGGGGTTTAATAAAGTAGCATATACAGGTCAAAATTTGCAATATTCCACCAGGAGTAAAATACTTTTAAAGGGACGTAAGCAAATGAACTACAACCTTCAAAATTATGAATAAGATTCATATTGATTTTATTTGTACATGAAAGTATGTTTTTATTTGTAGCGCAGGGATAGGCCGTACGGGTACATACATAGCTCTAGATGCTCTGTATAAAGCTGGTAACAAAGAGAAGAAAATCAACATCGCAGAATACGTCAAAAGAATGAGAGAAAATAGGATGAATATGGTCCAGACTTACGTATGTACTGTAACATTATCTAAATAATTATATTATGTCGTAGATTGTTAAACATCAAAATGTGCATATAACACTGTGCCGGATAAATCTGCCACCTCCAAAGTGGCAAATTGGCGCCCGCCAAACATTCAATTTTCAGCAAATTCAAAGATGTCATCTGATAGACCTTGATGTACAGACTTCATATCTACCTTTTGCAAGTGTGTATCTCACCTGTCAGGTGAGAGACTCACCTTTGATTTAAAAAATCCCTTGGGAGAAAAAAATATCCTGTAGGAATAAAAAAAATCCCTAGGGATTTACATGAAATCCTGCAGGATTCTGAAAAATCCTATTGGAATTTTGTCAAATCCTACAGGATTTATTTTTCCCAAGGGAATTATACTTTTCCTGTAGGAAATTGTAATCCTACAGGAGCTCTCAAAGATCCTACAGGAATAAATATTCCCTTGGGAAGTTTAATAATCCTATAGGATTTAAGTTCTTTACACATTTTTCCTATAGGAATTGCCCCAAACTTAACTGATTTTTAGGTACTCCTAAGGGAGAAAAAAATCCTGTAGGAATTTTTTAAATAGAAAATAATTTCCTGTGGGAAATAAAAATCCTAAAGGATATTTTCAAAATTATGCGTATTTTTCTATGTCCAATGCAACTTAATCCCAAAATTTTGTTAATGTTGCAGTTTTTCATTTTTATAACAGTGCCTGGCCATAATCGAGACATAATTTTATTTTTCCACTATCTGTTTAATTGAAATATGCAATTTAAAAAATATATATACATTGCAATGTTAATTGTGTCTTAATTGCTAAATACTCTGAAAGTGTAGATTTCTTTGCAGTTGTTTTATACGTCAAAATAATTTTATCTTTAGCATTTTCAGTTATATCATCAATCAAATGCAAAATCAAAATTTTAATTTATTAAGAAGTCATAGTAAATTGAGGAGGTAAAAAATTTTTCCTTGATGATTTCATAAATCATTATCATTCATTGTGTTTCATTTTAAGACAAAAGAAAGCAATTCTGGATGATTAAGTGGAAAAAAAAAATAGAAATTGAGCTATAATTATTATCTGATTTATAAAAATTATATTTTCAATAAAATATAAAGTTAAAATGCAATTGTGAGTCGCTTATGGCCACATACTGTACTTTGAATACTGTCCTTTTGGGCTTCTTAATATTGACCTTGTGGTACTTTATGAATACGATTTCTGTTAGACTACTAGAATTATACACTTGTATCTGTCATCCTGTCATCCTCAAACCTGTTTCTCATTGCAGGAGTGTTTTACTAATCCAAATCTTTAACTAAAATCATCATGAATTCAGAATGACGTTCAGATTGCTTGTCTGACGGTGTAATAACAGGAAATAAGTTTCGGTCGGTAAATGATGATTATTCTGCAACCTTGCTTTTTCCGGATTAAAACTGTAATCAGTTCATGATATTAGCTACGGGAGACACAAAAGTTCAAATTTCCTTGACAAGAAAAAGGTCTTTGAGGGGGCAAAGGCATAAAGTAGCTATTTTTCCTATAGTATTCTTTTTACCAGCAAAAATGGAAAGGGGGGGGGGTAGACAACTTCATCATATTTTCTATTATGCTGTTCACACTTCTTATAGCTATGTTTTCTACAAAATGCATTTATTAATGAAATATTCAATCTTTATAGTTCCTGGTCTTTCTGACCAAAATATTTAAACTTCATACTTTCTGATCTTTCTGTGTTTCAAAATGGATGTAACCTTGTAATGATCATAATACTTTTTAGACACGTAAGTGCAATATTTTCAAATTTCCCTAAATATACGCCAATAAATCACCAATGATTTTGGCAACAAGCAGACATATATAAAGAATCCCTTTTAACTGAAACTGAAATGAAAGATGAAAATGGTATGATTTTATCTATATTTATTGATTCACTTTCATGTCATTCTAAAAAAAAAAAAGTCCATTGGCATCTATCCTTTTCACATAATCAATCTGGGAGGTTCCTAACATGTGCAGGCTTTACAACTTCTACATAGCTATCACACACATACTTCACTCTGTAACCTGTGGAATAGATTAATATTTTATAATTTAGAAAGGTTAGACTTGGTCTAAGTAAGAGAGGTATATCTAGTAATTACAGAGATTTATAGAAGAGTACCTATATTGTACAAATTGAAGAATTTATTTCAATAAAAAAATTATTGCATGAGTAACCACCAAACAAATGAAAGTTGAAAGTTGAGTTTTTAAATAACTTTATCTAGTATTGTATGCTTTAACTGTATAAATGTTTAACCGATAGTACAAGTCAGTGCATTTTGCTTAAGACTATGTCAGCTACAGATAGAAAAAGGGTTTGCCAAGTAGTTATGACATACCTTTTTTTTTTCTTTTTTTTTTTTTAGAAATTATTAATAAAAGATACCTTCTGGGTTCTTCCTTTTCCCCAAAACCTTTGCCCGGTACCATGTTTTCTCAGGAGAGTAGAAGGCCTCCACTTCATCCCCTTTACTAAATGTGACCTGAAACATAGAAAACACAATGGAATTTCTTCTATAAATTGTCTTCCTTTTTGTCTTGATTTAATTGTGATCTATAATATTATCATTATCACCATTATTATCTTATCATTAATAATTAGTTCATTACAAAGTGACCTTGCGAGTTTTTAATACGCTTACATATTTCACTCGATCAAATATCTGCAAGGTTTTCTATTTTATGCCATATAATATATATAAAAACCTTTGAAGTCTCTGTCAACATTCAGTCTGAAATGTTTCTATCCTAATTATCCTGAATCATTAAGCATCAAGTAGGATAAAATATATGTTAAAGCTTAAATTAAAAAATATATATATGCTTACAACAGATTCTGTCTGAATGGATTCTTCTTGGATCCTTTCAAGTACAACCCATGCATTCTGCAACTAAACATAAAGGATTATTAATATGATGATCATAATCTATACAAAATTAATATAAGATCTTCAAACTTCCATAAAAAATTATCAAATACTGTTACCAGTTCTTATCTAGTTATATACAAAACTTTCTTGATTAGTAAAATATAATATATATATAAAGTTGTAAAGTTTGGCAGAACAGCAAGAGGATGTGTTATCTGAGTATGTCATTTACCTCCGATTCTTTTCTTTGTACAGCAGTCTGAAAAAATTCAACATTTATTTAGAGATTGTATAATTTGCAGCAGGAATATACATTAGAACATCCACTTCTTTGGAAGTTAAACTATATTACCATTTAAAATTGTTGTGATACATCATGTTTTACTAAAATATCAACTTAGTATCAATTCTTTTGTAATAAGTACACTTGTTTTGACATATTACTTGTAAGTTTTAAATGTATATCTACTAAAATTTCAATGGATAGCAGAATGATTGACTGATGTTTTTATTATTCAACATAAAAAATATTTGGTGTTACTGAACCTCTTTTCTTCTGTCTTTGTCCTGAACCCTTGTCTGCTGAGGGTCCAATGGCCTCTAAAATTTATAATAGTAATTATTTATAATATATCTTTGAGTAACATACTATTTAATTCTGATTCCAAAATCAAATTTTTTCATTTTAAAATTTAACAATATAGAGAAATCTGATGTTCTTTTTTAAAAATTATTATTTACCACTGTATTTTCCTCCTGGTCTCTGACTTCTTCTTCAAAGGAAAATGGATCCTATAAATCAAAACATCATATTAAGAGGTGCTTTAGTGTCCCATCATTTTCCATTCTTTTTTAATTAATCTTTAAAATCCATACCATCTCATTTTGATCTGTGTCATGTTTCCGCTGCATCTCCTCCAACTGGTACTTCAGCTTTGCATTTTCTTCTTTCAGTCTGCGATTTTCTCTCTGTCAAAACAACAGTAAAATTGTCAATACATGTAAAAAAAAAAATCTCTCCATCTTTTTTTATATTCATACATAAAGCAAAAATACTTGAACATAATCAGTTTTACACTCTGTTTTGCTATAACATATATGAATTTAGAGTCTCAAATAAAAAAAAATAGTTATGATTATATGCATCATTTTCATAATACCTTCATTTCCTGCAGATTTTCTTCGTTACTTCTTGTTTTCTGTAATATAAGCAGTCATCAGTGCACATGACATCAATAGTTGTGTATAAAGTACAGGACTACAAAATTGAAAATGTTAAAAATTATATTTATGCCATTCTCAGATACCTACCTTTAAGGAGGAAATGTCCTTTCTGAACTGGTCAAGGGAGACCAGACCATTGGCCAGATTGGACAGTTGGTGGTGTACCTCCACCTCTCTCTTCTCTCCCACTAGAAGGGCAAACAGGCCTGGCTTTATTGACTTGGTGTTCCTGCAATACAATATTTGAGAAACAGATAATAAAAGAGAACCTGTTTCTTTTGAAGATTTAATAAAATAAGGATTCAAACTACATAAAAGATTACAAAATTGAATTGAAAAGAATTTTCTTGATATAATTGGATTGTCTGAATAATGTAAAAATGAACTCATCAATGCTCACCGCATGGTAGGGATGTCTCCTCTTTTGAATGCTGCAAAAATGCCTTGCAGCTCCTCAAAACAACATTCTGGTAATGTTGCAAGGAAGATTTGTTCCGAAATGATCCTCCAAATGTCCCAGCCTGAAAAGGAACCAATAAGGCTAGTAAGCTAGAAGAGGAATCTTTGATTACCAGTACTTTCATTCTTATATTAAACAAGATTGAAGTAAAGAAATATGAAAGCTAAATCAAATTAAAATTTAAATCATTACCTAAACTAATTGTATTTTTCTTTTCATTTGATTGTTATAGGATTCTGTTTCTTCAGTCAAAAATCAAAATTATAGCAAAAATATTATACATAATTAAAATTTTAGACACTTAAGTGTAATTTATTTAAATCAGTACTTTAAACATGTTAAAAAGAGTCATAAAATGGTAGAATATTATTTAATGCCATAATGAGTAAAACACAAAATGAAATCAGTTATATTCTTACATGCACTTTTGGTCTGAAGGCTAAAAGCACCTCACATTTCCTTCTCCAGGCTACATCTCCAGTCTTCAAAAAGTCCCTCCTACCTACTTTTCCACTCTGTGGATGGGCATCTCGCATGATCTAAAAATGAAGTAAATACTTTCAAGAATTATATGCTAAAGTTTTGTGATAAAAAGAGCATTGTTGATGATAATTAATATTATATTGAAGAACAAATACTACTGGTAATGATCAAACAATGTTGTTTTTCTGATTAAAAAAAATATCAATAAATGTAAAACTTTTTCAATACAAATTTCTATGCCTGATAATGACATGTTGTACCTTGACCTCTTCCTCTAACTCCTTATGCACATATTTCCTCAATGCTGATGAAGGTACATCTTCAGATGAAGCTACACCTTCAGGTCTACCATCCTCAACTGTGGAGTCCAACTCTGAATCAGTATGCAGAATGGACTCTGATGGTGTAAACAGCTCACCAGAGGAGTCTATAAAATGTTTGGTACACATTATATTATGATGACTGAAATCCTAAGAATCTGGAAAATATTTTTGTAAATGAGGTTCTTTATTGATAAAGTTCTGTATAGCTTGTTTTGTCACATTTGTTTCAAAAATAAAATAATGTGCACTTCCATGCCCTGATATGCCCATCAATTATATATTTATATATCATAAATAGAGAAGTGTGCACGAAAAAAAAATCATGTCACTTGGTACAATACAAAAATTTGCAAGAACTCCCTATTCCTAATTTGCTGCCATCTACTCTTCCGTATTTATTAATCAGAACAATCAGTATATACTATAAATATACAGTAAGATGTTCATTGTTCATTGGGTAAGTTGAGGTCACAAATGCTCAAATTGCTGAATGACAAACACACAACTACTGAACATAATACTTATCATTAATTTTATCATTATAAGCTTTTTACTTACACACCTTTTAGAGGCTTTTACTTTTTATGTCCATTGACCAAACAAGAGTGCACATATTCTACCAAAGAAGCATAAGTGTAAGAAAAAAAAAGATGTTTATGGTTGGTTTTGGTGATTTGACAGATCGTTATTCTATGAGTATGCAAAAGGTCTTTCATTGCATTTGTATGTTTTCCTTCAGTTTATGGATCATAAGTGACCATTTTTAGATCTTGGAAAAAAATAATTTAAAAAATGTCCTTATGCCTTTTGAAACAAGGGGCCATGGGCCACATTGCTCACCTGATGCACTTTGGACAAGAAGATTTTTTACAAAAAAAATTCTCATTAAATTCATAAATGACTTTACTCCAACTTGTAGTATAGACATTAAGGAGTTTCAATTTACTGGGGTATTAAATATTGCAACATTGTGATGGTCCAATATCATTACAATGAACTTGGTGCTGCTATTTTGTTAGAGATTTTCAACCTTTACACATTTTAGAATTTGGAATTTATGTTATGATAATAATTTATTTTTCATTCTTTTCTTCACATCATTCTTAGATATAGAATTAATTTAACTTTATTCTCATACGTTTATTTTTTATGAAAATCAATGTTCAAAACTTGTTTGATTTCCATTAATACTGGAACTCTTCAAATTAGAGGTCTGTTTGGTCGTCTGACTGAGACAGCATAAAGTTGCAGATAATACAAAACATGCCAATCTCAATCTAATTTTAAATGTAAAATGTATTTGTCATTACAATTAAAGAATAGATGAATTAATAGACATATATAAAAGAGCAGAACCCTTAATTTATCATCCATTAGAAAAATATGGCATTTCCCAGGCATGTGTAATGATTCAGATTTACCATGCAATAAATAGATATATACATACAATCAACAATACTTACTAGGTATAAATTGATATTTTTGTTGGTTCTATTCTTGATGCATATAAAGTCCACAACAATGTTTCATTTGCATTTTTGTTAGGATTTGTTCATTGACATGAATTCATCATATTGTTTACAAATTGTTTACATATTTATGTTATGTTTGTCCCAGAAATCCCGTGAGATTTGTACATTTTTCGACTTTTCACAAAAAAAGCTTGCACATTGATAGTTTAAGGAAATTTAAAAAGAAGTATGTACAAGATCTTTTAATATAAAAATGTACTAACCTAAAGGTGACACATCATCAGCAAAAACTATCTTCAGTTTGGATAAAACAGCATTCAGCTCATCACAGAATTTCCTCCTTGATGCAATGTCCTTCAGGCTTTTAAATCCACTTTCCACAGTCTTGTATGCTTCCAGAGGCACAGTTTTCTTCTCATTCTACAGAATAATAAAACACTTTTGCATGTAAGGTTTTTAAGGTCATCTTTCTAAACATTTTTCCTTGTTCCATGACTAAGGATTAAAGAAATTGGGTAGGGTCACATTTTTTTTATTTAAAAAATGAAAGTGTGAAGTAGTTTTTAATGAATAAAAATAAACATTTCCTGAAAATCAAGAAAAATTGTGCAGTTTTTGATAGGGAGAGGTCAAACAAACATTTTTCTTTAAAGATGGCCTGAGAAATTTTTGTTTTGTGGGCTGGTTTGGTTTCATTCTGCCATTGCTTCTGAGAAAGAAATCATAAATTTAGTTTACCACGTCTTTCTTTTCCCTTTTAAATTTGTCATAAATAATTATGATTACATAGCTTAGTTGTTCTTGAGGAGAAGATGTTGAAGGTTTTCCATCCCTAATAGGACCTAATTCTCTATCCTTAAATATCCATAATGTATATAATACTCTGATATTAATTCAAAGCACTTTACAGTAGAAAAGGATTTACCAAGAGAAAGTTTCCAAAATGTAATTAACTAAGCAGTAATTAATTAACATATATTGCATTGAAGTCTATCGAGACAAGCGATTTTTAAAAAAATAAATATTCGAATAATAAGAATATCA